AAAACGAGAACATTTTGTTAAAGTATTACTTCACACTAATTCTTCTACAATAATACAACAACTAAAATATATTATCAGTCAAAAATGATAGCGATTTCTTGATACTAACAACAAACTTTATAAAGCATTCACATTTATTTATTTAGTAGGTAAATTTTATGAAGTACGGTCTAAAAGGAGTGTTGAGGTATATAGGGTAGAAATTTGTATCCCATTCTTCCTCAGACAATGACAGACATGACCATGGAAACGTTACAGACTATGATAGACGGGATCGATAAGACATCACAGACTGTGACAGGCACCTTCGCAACATTCAGCTCCTCTTACTTTTGTCACAGAATGGGACAGACGTTGTTGATATACGATCTTTGATCGTATATTAGTTGTGTCTCGTTATATTATATAAACTACTTCTTTATTGCGTTTCTGAAGGATCTGATTAGTAACTATTCTGAAAGTCTCAGCCATTTACCATTTAAAATAAGAAAATCGTAAGAATCAGATTTTGGTTAGGAAGACTGTTATAATTGGAGATCGGAAACTGTCAAGATTTCATTTTAAAACCTCTTGCAGGTAATTTTTAGCATCAGAAGATAAAGTTCTACTACTTGGGGAAGTTTGAAACAGTACGGATGAAGTCAATGTAATCGTGATACTTTTTCCAAAGAATCACTCTAGAGCAGCAGATTCAAATACCAACAACGATAAGGCTCCTATACGATCTTGTATGCTTTTCTCAAAAAAATACCTATTTTGAGGTCGTAAACCCTTAGAATGTGGTACAATAATCACAAATTCCGAAAGGGCCAACCTGATCTTCGGGGTAGTGCCGTTTTCTCTTGGCTCCCACACTGGATAAGAGACTAGTAAAGGGTGTGGGTGTGGGTGTGAGCTTGCATGAAGAGAAGACTCATCTCCATCTCCGTCTCCACACCCATCATGTTCAGTCACAGGGAAGGGATGAATCTAAAATCGCAAAAAAATTGATCATGTGATTTTCGATGAGAGTCTACCGATATATTTAATAGAAAAAGAAAATAAAACCAAATTATGTTATGCTATTCAATTTATCAGATGCTGTTTAACTATAAGGATGACTATACTGTAAAAAAACCGATAAAATTATCTATCCTTATGCGTAGTAATAAGCCTTTGTGCTTAGAATGAGAAATTCTCCTGCTGAAAATGTACAAAACTCTACCGTTTTACATAGAATAATAAATTCTTTTGCTAAGACCATAGAGTAATCTATGTTCTTATGTGTAGAACAATAAAACGTTTTGATTAAAACGTTGAATAATAAATCTTTCGTTTCATAAACCTTTGAAAAGTATTATGACAGCAGCATAAATACTTTAAGAGCTTATAAAAAAATTTTTATAGTGCAATGGTCGATTATTTTAGGTTTTTGACAGTTTATACTTCGTCCTCTATTTTTCATTCCATTCAATTCGTCCTAGTTACTTTTCATCCCATTACATTTCGTCCTTTGTATTTCGTCCCAATTTGATTTCAATTCACAATTTTACAAAGATTAATCTCTATAGTCAATCAAAAATAGGTATTGTGTAAATACTTATTGTTGTGTTCAGTGAATCATCCTGCTTTAAAAAGACTAATGAAGAATGAATAGATGTTCTTTCTCCATTTTATAAATTTATCCAGATCTATTTTCTTTCTGTGGTGTGTCATCAGATGGAGGAGTCAGTATGATATTATTTAAAGTGACTGTTAATTCAAAACACTGGTTTTTTTTTCGAAAAAGTTCTTGAACGTTCTTTTCTCTGTTCCACCGTCCATGTTTACAGTTTCCAGTTATGAGGCCTTCATTTTCGTGGCTAAAGATGTTTCAGGTTTCTGTTGTTTGTTGTGATTTAAACTGATGTACATAGTCAATTTTCAATCGTCTATTGCGCCTAGATTCTCTTGGTCTCTGATTTGTTTTCTTGTGGGTGTGGCCTTGGTTCGGAGTGCTTTTCGAGGATTCCACTGATGTCTTCCCAAGCTCTAGTGAAGTGCTTAGACCATTCTGGTGAACAGAACGATGTAGAAGTAGATGGATTTAGAGACCAAAATTGTCCATCTATGTATATTTTCTCCAAATGGTGACTCTACTACTGTCACTCGTTGTTTCGACAACGAAGAAGATTATATCTTTGTTTGAAGTAATAAAACAATGAGTTATAGGTTAGATAATTTAAAGAAAATTAATTATTTTGACCAAAATTCAAAAGTCACATCCTCTGATTATTGGTGATCCGTTCGATTTCAGTGTGCATATTTGCCTTCTAAAGGATATAAGATATTCAACGATGAAATTCACGATAATATTGAAAGAAACAAGACAGACATATATAAAATGAGATGAAACTAAGCAATTATGAACTGAATCAATCATTACTAATTTTTGCGCTTTCAAAAGGTTATTCTCAAACAATAATTTTTATTTTTTTTTCGAAGTTGTTCTCATAATAAATTATTCTTTTTTGTAAAATAAATCCATGTCTTCTTTTCAAACTGGTAGCATGCTTTTGAACCATTAGAGTGACGTAAAATATGCTAATTTATTTTCTTTCTGCAAATAGTAGATGAAATACACTGATAATGATCTATTTCATCATATGTTATTTATTATCGACAGTATTCTATGAATTAATAATCAAGAGAAATGTCCACCCATTTTATGGATGTCGAAAATGTGCATGTAACCATTAACCTTGAATAATACTCTTATTGGCTTTTTTTTCTTTTAGTCAAAAGAAAAAAAAAACATACACGCATTAAATGTTGCACTTTATGTCAGGACCGTAGTATTTTTAGTAAAAATGAGTTCATTATCCTCCAGATTCGAATATGGATTGCAGAAGGGAGGCCAGAATTTCAGCCCAAGGAATTTTCGGCCCGGACCAAAATTCCGGCGGACTTTCGGCCCAGGCCGAAAAATCACCGGACATTCGGACCGGGCCGAAATTCATATAACTCTTGCAGAATAGTCTAAAGAAAAAAAAACGGTCAAAGTCACGTGATTCTCATTGTACTCAAAAAATCATTGGTACGATCTCCTTTGTATATGTAGTAGTTACTTGCATCAAACATTTTGTAGCTATTTGAATTCAAAATGCTCCAGATCAAAAGAATTCATCCTTTCAAAGAGAAAGAAGAAACACTCGATCGATCAGTAGTTTTTACTTCACATAAATTTTCTTTTCTTTATCATGTATTACTTTATAATGTGCATAGGAGAGAGAGAAAGTGCAAAAATCTCGTTTGCTGTTGCAAAAATTATTGTTATTATTCAATATATATGTACCTATATACCTATATATGAGTCACATCCATGATTTGGCTCAAAAAAGTAATATAGCAAGATGATTATAAGGGACGAAATCAATTTTTTTTGTATGTCATAACTTTCAAGGTAAAATATAGAGTCCTTGCCAATTGTATATAAATACATAGCGAAAGATAAACAAAAAACAATAACAAAAACGAATCGAATATTATGCCGCGTTTTAATCATCATTTGATTTCTAAAATTATTCGTGTTGCTGTAATTAAACAGTACAACTATCATACGAATGGTACAAAAAACAAAAAGATGCTTAAGCAAGAACAACAAAGTAATGATCTAATTTCCCCGGAATGGGAAGAAGCAATCATCAAAGCACAGCGGATGCCTGACATCTCATTCGATTTAATGCAAAAAGATACTATTGCCCAAATACACAATAATAAATTCAATCATAACAACAATAACAAATAACAATCATATTCGAATGCAATGGTGAAATCTCCAAATTGATTTTACGTTATTTATTTAGCGCGGAACAATTGAACAAATTTTTCTTTCCTATTTTTCTAATAAATTCAAACATTTCGAATTTGTGTTCAAGATTGTGATGTCCATTATTGTTTTTTTTTGTGCTTACTAAACTTACAATAAATTTCTCTATCTGATCTCATAATAGATGGAATATTTAAGATTCATTTTGCAATTTCGCATTACAAAAAAAAACAGTCTATTAAAGATACGAACTAAACCAAATTTTTAATTATAATTCAAATTCATATACTGAAGATTTATGTTTTCGTGTACGAACTCATTTGTAATTTTGACTTTAAATGAAAAATTAGCAGCAATTATATCAGAAAAAAATGATTCTATATATTCCTGTTACAGTATTATCGTACTATTGATATGTTACTCGGTTAACAATAGAATAATGGTAATGTTTAATATTAGTCATAACTTTTCGAGGCTAATGAAATTAAAAAGGCGTGATTTTACTTATGAGTAATTTTCATTTATCATATACACATACGGACTTGCGTACCTTTATGATAATAAACGTATGTAGTGATTCATTACGTCGCATTTTACATTGAAATCTGACGAGCAATAAATCAACATATGCCAAAAATAATGTAGGCCTGACAAAAAGTGCAAAATATACAAGGTACTTTTTGCGTCCTCTACTTAGAGAAAAAAAAGAAATGTAAAAGAATTCATGGTTGATGATTGCACGTATTGTAAACATCTAAGACATGAGTTAACGCCCCCCCCCCCCCCCTTCCTCCGCATCGATTTCAGAATCATAGATACTGTGTCGATATAAAAGGAGATGTTAACAATCAATGCATTACAAAAATTTTGTTATCATAACTTGAGACGAATAAGAGAAGAAAAGAGAAAATTATTTTTTGTTGAAAACCGATAATGAATATCGTATCGCATTGTGTAACATTAATTAAACGTAGGTGGCGTTTGTTACTTATTTTGCTCACTCCACTCATTCTACTTCCACTACCACTTCTTATCAGAACGACTGTAAGTATTGAATAATACTTTTGATGCATTGTTGCATGAATGTTGTAATTGATTGAATATTTCCTAGCAAGCACGATGTGCCTACATTGTACTTCTTCTTACTGTTTATTGGGTGTCCGAGGCAATACCCTATGCAGTGACTTCTTTGCTTCCACTTGCTCTCTTTCCAATGGCTGGTATTTTATCCGGTGATGAAGTCGGTTTGAATTATTTCAAAGTAAGCATATGCTATGTCTTTTGTTTATTGTTTTATCAATATATTCGTTCTTTGCTTTCTATAGGATATTACAACAATGTTTGTCGGTATTATGATTTTAGCTTGTGCCATGGAGCATGTTTGTTTGCATCGACGATTGGCATTATTAGTACTTAAATATGTTGGTTCATCAATTATATGGTACGTAGTGTTTTTCTTCTTGATATCGAATGAATCTTTTGATATTTTAAACAGGAGCATGGGTGGATTAATGATCGTCACAGCTTTTTTGAGTATGTGGATCAATAATTCAGCTTCTGCAAATATAATGATACCGACAGCATTAGCCATTGTCAATGAACTTCAAAATTATCAACAAGCAACCAACCGAACAGCTGTGGCTAATGAGAATGATAACCATCAAAATTCGACAGGTAGTGTATTAACTTACTTCACTGATAAGAAACACTTTTATTTAAACAGTCATATAGCCAATCGACACATTTTTTTTCTTTGCAGATACACTCGAGATACAGACATTTTCGGACAAACAATCAATAGAACAGCCATCTGTGCTTGAAAATATTGTCATTACTTCGAATATTCAAACGATTGAGTGAGTTTGTTTTATTTTTAACCAAGAATTAATTTTCTTAATTGATAAGCTCTTTTAAATATATAATTAAATGAAATTAGGTAGATTTGCCATTTAATCTTTGTGATATCCGAGAATATTAGCAGGTAGATCTGTCACCGCTACGTAATCTAAATTAATCAGATGTTTATCATTTGTGGTCTATATAGAAAATACCGTCACCACATCTTCAGCTTTGCAAATTAATCAGTTGAATGTATTGATCTCGATCAGTGAGAAGATTTAAAAAGTCTTATTTATTGAACTGAAAGGACACACGACGAAATCTTTTACTCATATTGAAATTCTTTTCACAGCATACTACTATTAATATATGATAGATTTTATTATTAATTAAGTTTTGAAATTTATCAGATGATTCCTCCAGTGGTGGATTGATCGGTACTCGATTTCACATAGAAAATAACATATTAATTTGTGATATAGTTTATATAATCATACTGAATTTTAACATTATGCTTCTAATATCATTTGTAGAGATACACCTACCAATAGTCAATTCAAACGCTCTTCAAAAAATTTTTTAAATACTTCGTTTACAAATCAAGTCGACTGTGAACAACTTAAAACTGGTATAATCAATTTTGATTGAATTTGATAAAATATAATTTTGTTCAACTTTAAAGGTTTTCTTATTGCTGTAGCCTACAGTGCAGCCATTGGTGGCATGATAACACTAGTAGGAACGGGTCCAAATATTTTTGTTAAAGGTTTTACTGATCAGTAAGATTTTTTATTAATACTTAGTCATACATATGTGTCTTCTTAATATTAGATACTATGCTAGTGGAGATATTAGACTTCAAATTTCGTTTGCTAACTTTCTTCTATTCGGTTTGCCAATTGGTATCATCATGCTTATTCTCTGTTGGTTATGGCTGCAGTTCTTATACAATCGTAAAGGGTAATGTCTCACGTAGCGGCTAGGTTTTTTTTAATAACATAAAGAATATATTTTAGATTTTTTCGATGCAGAAAAATCAGTACGAATGCAGTGGAATCTAGAAAAAATTTACAGTCTCTTCTCAAACAACAATACGATAAATTAGGTCCACTCAGTTGGCAAGAATGTACCATTGCTATTCTGTTTATTGTAGTGGTCGTCCTTTGGATAACACGTGATTTTTCAAGTTGTCCTGGATGGGACATTTTGTTTCGAAAAAAGTAAGCGAAATGACTATGATTTGACATCTATCAATAATGATTTTAATTGTTATGCAGTTATGTAACAGATGGAACAACTGGTATAATCATCGGTTGTCTTCCACTTATTCTACCCAATAAGAATCCATTTCATGGTAAGATTTCATCTGAATAATTACTTGTTTTCGAGCTAATTTATTTCTAGAGGAATGGGAATATCATCCGATTCTCACATGGGATCAATTATCAAAATCATTTCCTTGGGGTGTGTTTATGTTGCAAGGTGCAGGCTTAGCGATTGCTGATGGATTCAAAGTATATTCATAATATGAAGTTTAGTCTGTTTATGATGATTATTATAATAGGTATCAAATCTGTCAAGTACTATTGCTGCTTTTCTTCATTTTATTGTCGGAGCTCCTCAAACATCAATTATTCTTGTTGTTATTATAATCAGTGCTGTATTTACTGAATTCACAAGTAACCTTGCTTGTGCCACTATTCTATTTCCCATTTTGGACAGTGTTGTAAGAAATATCTTTCATCTTAAATTGATTTTGAAGTTTTATATGATGAATTTGTAGGCGAAAACAGCAAATATTCATCCTGGATATCTCATCTTACCATCATGTATGGCTGTTTCTTTGTCGTTCATGTTACCGATTGGTAAGTTTTATCTTCTAAACGAGATCCAATTCAATTTTTATTTGCAGCCACTCCACCCAATGCAATGATATTTATAAGTGGCAATATGAAAACTAGGGATTTACTTAAAGCTGGATTTGGTATGAAAATTATTGGTATTATTGTAATTTTTCTCGGATCACTACTCTTACTATCACCTATCTTCCACATCAATGCAATAACAACTATTTCAAATAACACATTAATTAGAAATGTCACTAACGGCTAACAAACTACAGCCGTTACTGGATCCTATCGTCACCATCTGAAAGGCTCAAGTAACAAAAACTAAAAACTATTAATAATAAATTTTCGTGTATATATTTGTATTTTTTCTAACTTGATAAATATATCAACGTATACGGGATGTCTCATAAATAAATAGATGATAAAAATTCGAATATCTCCACTCTAATTCAATCAAATGAGTTGATTTTTTTCTAATGATAGAGACTTGTTCAAAATATCTTTTTTTCACATGAATAAGGTGAAAAAATACTGTGTTAGAGTATCATCATTGATCTCGATAAAGAAAGGACCTGATCAAAAATCATGAATTTGTCCTCATCTTGGAAACATTATAAAATGAAAGTATCTTAACAGTATAGAACTACTGTGATGTCGTTTTCTTAAGATCTCGTCCTCTTTGTGGACAAACAATTCAGAAATGTCAGAACTTCTTGTGCTCTCTTGGAAAAAAACCAGACAACTAACTAGAAAACCTCTACAGGTGCTCCTCTGAGATTTCAATGAATTTTTGTCTATATGTACTACATAGTTCCCTAGTAAAAATCTTAAAGGGATTTGGATGCATATTAAGATTTGGTTAAACTATTGAATTTGTAATATATCTATTTTCCAGAGGCTCCTGTGTAATCTCACGATTAATCGTGCTAATAAATTGTGATTAAATCAGCGATTTTGATGACATGGGATATGATTAATAAAAAGGGATCAATTGATCAAATTATAACTTTGGAAAACGATCAATCTCAGTGTTTGTGAGTTTATTGAGATGTATAATAATGTGTTGACGCCTACTATAGACATAATGGATATGTACAACAGACTTATTTGCCAGTTAAATTAAGAAATAATGGAATACAAAAATTAATGAATAGGAATTTTTCATTTTACGTATTTTGTATTCGTATAATGCAGTTAAAGAACACATGTGAACCTTAAAAGAACCGCGTCGGCAAGCTTTTTTTTTACTTATTTTTGATTAAATGAATTGTTACTGGGAGAAACTATCAACTATTGAAGTATCGTTCGAACAAAGCAAAAAGAATGTTCATGTTGATTTTATTGATACTTGTGGAAAGCAAAAAAACAACAATGACAACAAAAACATGTTAAATTGTAAAAAACACAAGGAAAGAAGAAACAAGCTACAACCAAAAGTTATATACAAATGCACTAACATATTGAAAAATACAAACAAAAAAAAGGAAAAGAAATAGTGAATAAGGGATAAAAAGAACCATGAAAAATATTCTAACATACAGTAAAATATTGTTCAAGAAAAATCACCAGCATGAATTGTCATCACGCAAGAACAATACATTTTTTTTTCTTCATTTTTCATATTGATTTCATATTTGTTAAGACTCTGAATTATGTACAAAATCAGTTGTTGGCAAAACATCAATTGAATTGGATGTTACTTGTATACCATATAATGCTACTGCACAATCTATAGCATAAGACCAACGTTTTATATTAATAAAACGTTCTAGATATTCAAGCATATTTTTCTACACAAAATTAAAGAGACATAATGCTATAGTTAATAAAAATTACTAGTTGACTCACATGTTTTATGAAGATAAAATAAACGTGCGAAATGAAACAATATAAAATATAACCTCTAACCCGATTGTGTAGCCAATATTTATACAACAATAATAACTTTTCTTTCCAACAAATAACTATGTCATCATCGGATGTAAGCTTCAATAAAGTCAGGCGTCTATGATAATGGTAAGGTAACAATCAAGAATGAATCATCAACAAGAATAGCAATAGTCGACATGATCACAAAAAAGGTAGGAAAAAAAAGAAAACTGTGATAAATTAATAGATACAAATCTTTATATTGACGAACGAGAACAATTGAAGATGATTAGATTGTGTTTTTTTCTTGGTGACGACTTCAAGCAATTTTACAATCGATATTTTTTTAAATTAGGACAAAAAACTCTGATTGTTTATTTCGATATTTGAATACTAATAAACGTTATTTGCTATTTAAATCAAACAGACATATAAGTAAGATGAATAATGAATGAGAAAACTATTCTAGTTACCTTTTATAAAAGATTTTTTGATGGTTTTATCTTATAATTGAAGAGATGACTTAAGGCGTACATGAACAGATTAATTCATGATTATCTCCTGTATTTTCACAGTAAACTGAGATCATTTTTCTATCAAGGATCGAGATAATATATTTAATTCTGCTATTCTTTTTTTTTTATTTGGATATACACAAATAATATTTCTAATGTATAGTTAATCTCTATATGAGTGAATAGTAATTTCTCTTAAACAATTTCGTTTTTGAAGTTTTATTGTTATAATTTTGGTTTCTGTCGTCCAACACAAAAAAAAATTTTTTTGTTTTTTTTTTCTTCCTTTCTACTTGTTCAAACACTTCCGAAATTTTCAGATCTCTAGCACATCACCTCACTACTGAGATAGACATGTTAAAAGTTGAAAAAGCTCACTTTTTTAGTGAAGCATCTTTAAAAGACTAGATTTTGTAAAGAAGATAAGAGATAAAAAGAAAATCTGAATAAGATGTTTTGTTCAGCATTCGATAGACTATTTAATTCTATTATTCATTGGTACAATATCTTCTTCCTGTCCTTTATTATTGGCATACTTTTACATTAGAAAGAACACCGAATTGATTCTAGAGTATACATATTCAAAACTTCTTTTTAGTAGATCAAAAAACAAATGTGAAAACTAGGTTTTTCACTCATTTCGTAGAACAAGATTTTCGAACTTGACAGGTCTGTAACTCTCGAAGGATCTATTCGATTTTAATGAAACTTACATACAAGATAGACTAGAAAAGACTGTATAAGTAAGAAAAGATTCATTTCTCAACGACGTTTTGTTCTAAAAAGTTTTATATTTTACGGTAGGGCGAGATTTGTTTTGGAAATTTGTCGATTATTTGACAGTAAACTGACTAGGTATATACATTATTCTGTTCGTAGAAGCAAACTTAATATATCTACATATTTCTTCATCTATTATAAAATCACTTACTAAAGCTGCAGTAATGAAATTTATTTAAGAGTGTTTCTTTTTACAGCCTCCTAATAGTACTTTAAGGCTATTTCTTGTGTGTAACAATGGGAATGCGGTGTTTATCTCATTTCATTCTAGATAATAAAATGGCACTTATGAAAACTTCTTGTGTTCGATATGACGATGGTTTGTATCGATTTCAAGATCTTTTTTTTTGAAAAATCCTCGCGGACGACAAAAAAAAACAAAGTCTACACTTGAATATCTTCACCATCAAGCGGCTATTTGTTGGAAAATTTTTACCGGATACTTAGAAAATGATGGAGAACAAAATGTACTAATCAAATTTTTTCGAAACCAACTTTTAGTTTTTTTTTTTCATTAATTGTACAAAAAAAAGTTGCAATTCATTCATGTAAGAACTTATAATATCTTTGCTTTTATTAGACATATGATTTAAAAGAAATATTATTCATTTTATTGATTAATTGATAATTGATACATTTAGGGAGTGTTTGATTGCGAATAATATTTGATAAAAATAAGAAAGAGAGCAAGACGATTTTGAAAAACTAAGATTTTCGAAGTTCTCATAGCACTTTAATCTTCAAGTGCACTAGTTTGTTTAATGTTGATTATTCAAAAAAAAATCTCTCAAAAACTTGTGAATATTATGTTTCTTATATGATTCGATGTCCCCAGCAACTTTTGAACCATCCCTTACATAAAATTCATTAATCCGAATGCGTCTTATTTGTTACATTTTGACATTCAAAAAAAATTATTAGTTGAAATACATGAAAACATTAATACATTCAATAGATTGTGTTAGAATGAATTGCATTGTAATAATACTTATTCAAATTTCATGAATGTGAACTTGATAATCAAGATACAAAAAAAATAATGTTTATTACCAATTAATAAATATGCAATTAAATGACCATCAAGATGAATAGCTAAATTATATAGTTTGATTTTCGCATCATTTGATTCGTTTAATTCTGCTACTATTCAAATCTATTTTGTATTAAATCCAATATGATATTCTCTATTTGGCCTAGAAATAGTTCTTCCTATGATATGCTAGTCTCATTTTTTATCTATTATCATCTTCACATCAGTTTGAGTTATAAATTAAACAAATACAGATAAATGTGGTTCATCTAGTACCTATTGAGTTTTCTGACTACGTACTGAAAATAATAAGACTAATTATATTGCACTCCTTCTCTATCTGACAATGCAATAGTAATATTTTCTCATATTTTTTGTAAAACTTTTCTCTATATTTGTGATATTAATCGTTGTTAATGATTGATTAAGTTGTACTGTTCACGCAAGATTAACTCCAATATCTTGACATCGATCTAACCACTAAGCTAAATGAAAAGATATTTCTTTAATGTTTTCAATCTCAATATTAGTTACAACAATAACTTAATATTAATAATGGACCAGTTACATAAAGAGAAGTATCTATTGGATTATATCACCAATATGTATTTTTCCAATCGTTAATTAATCAAACATTAAGAGTAAAATGAACAGTTACTCGTATTTCAGGATTATTTTGATTAGTTGAATCATTGATAGTTAATGCTTATAACAGACTTGTTATACTATACAAATGTTTTGCTGTACGCTAGTTAACATATAGTTTCCTTTGCAATAAGGTTTACCTAGGTGTTTAATATGATGTATTTATTAACTCATTCTTATCAACAAAATTCACAGTCTTATATAATACTCCACTCCGCAACAGTTGAAGACCTCCTTGAGAGGACAATGTGCCATACATAACAGAAGACGGCCTTAATTAATTATTTTCTCGAAAGATTCGAACTTTAATTTAGTTTATTTTACATGAAAATATGCTTAATTTTCATAGGTTTAAGCTGGAAATCTTAAAAGACTGAGATTAACATTATTTCTGTGTTATTGAAATTGTAAAAGTCTCAAAATCGTTTTGGTTTTCTGAAAAACAAAACTTTTTAATTAAAAATTCTGAAAATAAATGCAGGACAATCGAACACGATTCTAAAAATTTTATATGCTTAGACATAATAGAAGACCCGTATTCTTCTATTGTGAAAGCTATAGGCAACCTATGATAAAAATTATCATTTTTTCTTGCTTAATTAATTTCGGTTGTTTGAATTGAATTGTTAATACACATAACTTACCTGAAACGGAGAATAGGACAATACAATCATTCATTCAGTACAACGATCATAACTCGACTGCAAACGACCATGAAGACGAACTATTTTACACTTTTTCTAATCTTACCAGAACCTTCCTGTGGGTATAATATGAGTTCAAATGGTAGGTTACAATCGCATTAGTCACTTCCTTAGAGAGTTTCTTTATATTCACTTACATTCATCCATCACTTATTTTCTTCTAATGACTTTTATATGGCATCTGATGTTTGCCAAGCTTTCATGCATAATATAGATTTGTTCTTCATTAACGGAAAAAATCAAATTTATTGAAAAAACAAAAGTCTTTTTTGTATTTCAATCAGTTTTACACAAAGTAGAATAGCTATTTGTCACTGATTATAATCTGTACGTGTTGTAAAGATTTAAAGTATTTTCTAGATTACAAACAATATTATGGTTTAGATTATAATTCTATTACAAAGAAATATACTAATGACTAAATTATTTCTTCTAATGAATAATAAAATTTTTTCTTGGTCTTTGTTGAAATCAATGTAAATTTTATCGTATGATTTTTTTTTCAGATTATTTATCGACAAGGTTAAAATTACATGTAACCAACATCAAAAATGAATGTCGTTTGCTTTCTTTATTTGACGAATAGGTTTTTTGCTTCTGCTATAATAAGAATTTTACAATACACTTTTGTGATCATAATATTATTATAGAATATGAATCTCTTTTTCATTCTTTACTTTTGAAGAATACAAAAAAAAAAAGCATTTTTACAATCGATTCAAATTCGTTGCATTAAGAAACAAAACAAAAGTGCATTTAATGCTGCAAGTATACATAAAACTACTGTCTTGAAGGTAAAATATTTAAAGAATTGAAAGTAGATTTATGAATTTCTAATTATTCATTTGTTCTCAACATATCGTTGATAGACTTTTTTTTTTCAACGAAAAATAATGAATCAAATATAATAAAACTTAATTAATCAACCTTTACTTCTAATCTATAGATTACAAAATTATTCAATGTTACGTCAATCAATACAACGAACTCAAGACACATCACAATTAACAATAAAAAGAACAGCAATCGATTCTTATGGACGTCTTGGTTCATTATATGATGGATGTCAAGATCAACTCCTAGGAATATTGGATATAACTTTCGAACGATCATTAATTCAATTGTATGATAAAACACAATGTATTCTTGAAAAAGGTGAGAAAAATTATAAACGAAATCTTCTTGAATTGATTAATATCGATGAACAATTACGATTAAGTTTATTACTTAATTTAACATCAAAAACTGGTATAGCTACAATTATCGATTATCCATATATAATAAATGAATATACACGTATTTTACATTATTCTTATATTCATCAAGAAGAACGATTTCCTGATGAAATAGAAAAAATACGAGAACGACTTGAATCTTGTCTAATTAAAACAAATGCTACTCATATTATTACTGGTATCAGTTGGGGAATTGATATTGTTATTATTTTACAACTTCCATCAGATGATAATATTGTTTCAATGATTGATATTGTACTTGAAAAATATCGAGCATATTTAAATGGTGATTGTAATGATTTTAAACTAACTCGAGATGATGTTAATTCATATAAACATATTATTGATACAAAAGTTTATTCAAATATACCAGCTATAACTGAAATGACAACTTTACATAATATATTTCATAGTATCTCTCATTTAAAAACTGATAATACTCAATATCAACAATTATATTATATTCTTTATCCTATATCAAATTCAAGTTATAAATATTTAGATTCAATAAAGAATATTCGTTTTGAACAATATTTATATGAATTATCGACTTCTATGAAAATTATAGAAATATATTTTAATAAAGATATATTAAATCTTTTATGTGGACATTTCAAAGAACGTTTTTCTAATGCATATAAACAATGGTTAAATTTAAAAAATGAATATATAAATCTAATTGAACGATTATCTAAATTAGTAATTGAAATTCGTTGTGGTCAAAAACATACTTCAACATTAGATAGAATTCTTAATCATGCAGCAGAAATAATTTTAAAAAATAATATTTTTGATTTATGTGAAGATCTAACTGATCTTTATAATAAAGGATATTTAATCACTAATTTAAATCATCAAAATATACAATATTGTAATGTTATTGAACGAAAAATTGATAAGAATGATAATGAAGATACATTGAAACATAAATTAATAATTGATGAACATATTGATCGAATTTTATGTTCTAATGATTTATTAAATAAAAATAATCCAATAAAATTTAAAAAATTATGTAATAATTTAATTGATGAATTTAAAAATAATATTAAATTACATCTTATCTATGCTGATTTTTCTTATTGTACATATGAATTACATGATATGATTATTTTATCATCAATTAAAAATGATAATAAACAAAAAAATAAATTAATATATAAAGAAATTTCATCATTTATAGATAATAATAATAATAATACATCTACATCACCACGAACAAGAACACATATATATATTCCATCACCATCTTCAAAATTATCAATTACTGAAACAATTAATATTCTTCTACTTGGTGAAACAGGTGTTGGTAAATCTACTTTTATTAATGCTCTTGTTAATTATCTTACATTTAAAACATTTGATAAAGCTCAATCTGAAAAACCTATTGTTGCTATACCTGTTTCATTTTCTATTACTACTGATGATAATTTACAAGAATATAAAGTTAAACTTGATGATTTGAATAAATCAACTAATGAAAATTTTCAATATCATGGTCAAACAATTACACAATACTGTCAATCACATATTTATTATCTTCATAATAATGATGGAACAAAATTACGTATTATTGATACACCTGGTTTTGGTGATATACGAGGTATTGAACAAGATAATCTTAATATGCAACATATAATAAAATATATAAAAAATTTTAACTATTTAAATGCTATATGTATATTTGTTAAATCAAATGAATCAAGATTAAATATATTTTTTCGATCATGTCTTATTCAATTATTTAATTTACTAGATTCAAATATTCGTCATAATATTATCTTTTGTTTTACTAATTCTCGATCAACATTTTATACTTCGGGACACATAGGACTATTACTTAAAAAGATGCTTACTTCACTTTCAATTGGTGATGTTCCATTTAAAAAAGAGAATACATTTTGTTTTGATAATGAATCATTTCGTTATTTAGTTGCTTTACAAAATAAAATTCAATTTAATGATTATGAAAAACAAGAATATAAAAAAAGTTGGTCAAATTCAGTACATGAAATAAATCGATTTATACGTTATATTCGTAAAAAACTTATACCATATTATATTCCAAATGAATTTGAATCTATAAGATCTGCTGAAATAGAAATTGTTCAAATAATACATCCTATATTAGAAACAATACGAAATATTCTTCGAAAAATTATACGAAGTAAGATGAATCAATTAAAAGTAACATTTGAATCAGATTTAAATGATAATCATTCATATAAAATAGAAAATAATATTTATCATAGTAATCAACATTATCCTCATCAACCAATTCGTATTGATTTTTTAGAAGATTATAAAATTTTGAAGAATTCATTAAGTCAAATTCAAGATAATATGATTGAACAATTAACATTATTATGTCATGTAAATGTTGAATTTGCTTATTTTTTATTAAATATTGCTCATTATTCACAAAATGATCCATTTTTAAATGGTTTTATACGAATGATTGATGAAGAAAATATTATTTGTGAAAATCGAAATCGAAATTATATGAATTTACAATTAGTTGAAGGCTTAAAAAAATTAGCAAATAATTATCAACAACGTATAGAAATTATTAAAACAAAATTAGAACAGAATATTCTTTCAGATATTTATCAATGGATTAAATATATGCATGAATATCCTTTAATATCTGAATATGTAATTGACTCTCCTCGAGAAAATTTAACAAATGATAATAAAATAACATCAATATAGAACATCAAATAACATATTTAGAAAAATTTTCTCTTACGAAAAGAACATATCTAACTATCAAAAGTCGTTCGACTTCATATTATGACTACTAGGAGATCCCTATGAGACTAAGGCAATCTTAGAAGGATTTGGATTTATGGCCTGTTGATATAGAGTTATGACCGTTTAGGGACATTTCATAGTCTTGAAAGTTTCAACGAAAACGAATATATCTTTCTCGAGATACTTAATTTCCAAGTACACTCGATTATACTGTATCCTGTTACGGTAAGCTACTGATTTCTGTTGGAAGTTGATAATTTCGAGAAAGTCAATAAAACGATCATAACTCTTCATCAGTAGACCATAGGTCTGGATCATTTTAAGCTTTTCTTAGTCTCACTCAGGCCTACTTGTAGCTAAAATATTAAAGCTGAACAGTGTTTGATAGTTGGATATGTTTATTTGTTAAACAATTTGCGTTTTGTAAAACATTATGAATGTCTGAAAAATAATTTAAGTTGTAAATTAATAAAATATGAAAATAATATTAGTAATGAAATACTTCTTTATAATGACAGTTCGTAGTCACTTTCTGATAAAGTTTGATATTTGTTCTGTACTTTTTATGATTAAAAATTTAATTGAATGTATTATGCAATTCTTTAGTACGGGTATTTACGCTAAAAATTTCATCGAAGTGTTCAAAAGCTGTGGGTATTTTACACAATACTAGGTTGATCAGATCTTAAGCTCCTTTCTTTCTTCAATTATAGAACTCATAGTGGGAAAACCTTTCATACATCATAACTCTTCTTCAAATGAAGAGATCAGGATCAGGTTGGTTTCGTTGAGCTACATTTCTAAAGTAGTACATGTGATAAAAATTTCAAATGTGCAGCCTTAAGAATATTTAACATTGCAGTGTAAAATACTTTTGACAAGTAGTGTATTTCTTCATTGAATTCAATAGTGTTAGTTCTGCAAAGTATCCATTTCTCAGTTTCTTTACGATTAAAAACTTTAAAGAGTCATCTATCAAAGAGAAAAGTATCAGCCCGATTGATTGAAATATACTGAAGAGATTGAGTATTTTTATTGTCGAGTTATTTAGAAGCCACTCTATATATAAATTTGATAGATGTATTTATACTGGCTATTGTTTTCTTTTTTTATCACAAGATTCTTTATTCATGTAAGTTCTGACAAGGGAAGCATTCCAACTGATTTGTCGCTTTTGAACTGATAATTTTCCCTTCGATGAGATTTAGTAGGATTAAGAAACGTTTAAAATCGTTCATACTCATGACTTGACAGAGATGTGAGTGTGGGTATTGGTCATCTATTTCTCCCATACCCACTGACATTCACATCCACACCCTTTTATGCTCTTATAAGAAAGTTATCGAAAAGACTTGACATTTTTCATGTTATTTATTTTGAAAATTAGAAAGTATTGAAAATTTTTGTTTTTTATCATCTATAAATATATTTTTGATATTTTGATGTAAAACAAAGAATTTTTGTCGGCATGAATACCATTTTATTTTTCTGTTCTGTTTGTTACCTACGAGAAGTCTTTGCACATGGTTGCATTAAAGAAAAATGGCCGTTGATTTATTCTGAAATCTACCAAAAAACAGAAATGAAAAAAAATATTTTTGTTTTCAAGGTAAGAGATATAAAAACATGTTAAAATTTACAAAATTAATGTATTAATTCATTCGAATATTTCGTTAGGAATTTCTTTTTAAAAATAAATATGAGTTTGATTACTTCATTTTCAAAAATTATAGAACTTATATTATCAGTTTAAGAGTAGATTCTTTTCTCACATATATTTATATACATTTTATAGTTGTTATAGTTTTTCAATGTCTAAAATAGTCTGATGATATAAATAGTTGTTTAGTTTTTTGTGAAATTATCAGTATATGAATTCTAGTGTATAAAATCAATTTAATCTATGATAATTTCAAATAATTACTAATTTTAGATAAGAGATTTCAATTCTATATATTTATTATTTTTTTTCTCATAGATTTTCATGAAATAATTTTTGGATTAAAATTACTCGATATAAAAAAAATTCCCCTTGATTTTTTTGATTGGATACGATTTCTCACACATAGAAAGGAAATTAAAAAAAAAAGGTTAAAAAATATTTAAAATAAAATTGATTTAACTTTATAAAAGCGTAAGCATGTCATCTATCGATATTATCAGCCACTATATCATCAACAATAAATCATATCGATTCTAATTGACTGTTATACAAATTGATAATAGGAAAATTTCTGATTTAGGATGTACTGAATATTTCTTGTTTTTATTCCAATTTGTTTTTTGAGGATACTCTCATTATGATTCATTGAGGATAATTATGTTCTATATGCACATTTAGAGAGAAAACATTTTTCTTACAAAATGACATGTCTCAGAGATTTGTGCGATATATATTTCAATTTTTATTGAAGTTTTATGAAATGCCCTAAAACGAAAGTCTTGGTTACTTCAAAGTTTTTTGTAAGACTAAAATAAAAATTGAAACATTTATCGTATATATCTGGCTGATATCTGACTTTGTCGAAAAATCTTTTCTTTCTAATGGTAAACAGCCGAGACGACGATTATAGCTATGCGTGTTTTTAAG